AGGAGAGGAGAGGAGAGGAGAGGAGAGGAGAGGAGAGGAGAGGAGAGACATTCTGTTCCCTTTTCACATAATCAAGATTGTGCATAGTGCGAAAAGGCTAAAAAGGATGTGGTTTGGCAGTACAGGGTGCTAGGAAGAGATTGCATCTAGAGGTTCCTGCACCTTCTGTGACTTTCCCACCTTTTGTTTGATTCTTCTCTGAATATTGTGAAATGTCACTGTCTAGCTCTTATTGTAGTTTCCATTAAAGAAAGTCAAAGTACTTTATGAAGTCAATGTTACTGTGCCCATTAATGTATAGAGAACAATGGATTTGCAAAAGCAGGTTTTTTACCAGTAAAAATCTCTAATTTAAGAAAAGTAAAGATCCATTTGAAAATCTTAGTGGTGAACAGATCTATTGTGTTTAAAATATCTGCTCCTACCCTAATTCACACACTTCCCATAGCTTCCTTAGGTCTGGCACAAGTTTTCTTTCAGATGAGTCCCGCTCAGGAAAAGCTACATCAGACTGCCCACACTAAAATAAAAAAGACATTTTCAGCATTTCCTTCACAGATGATAGATTGATCTGGGCAAATTAGCACATTGCTGGAATACCCCTGAATGTAGTAGTTCCCTTCATTAACTACAAGCACTGTAGCTGTGCATCTTCCCACAAGAAGCATCCAAGAAACAAAAATACAGCAAAGTTAATTCTCTCTTCTCTAAGATGATTCTTTCATTGCCCTCCCTGGACCTGTACCCAATTTACAAAGCTTCAAGGAGAGAAAGAGCACAGACATCATCCAAAGCAAGTGGAGGATCTGCACCTCTGCAGAGCCCCAATGCAAAACTAAAAATAAAACAGCAGTGCTCCACACACATGAAAAAACTTCAGAAGCGTTTTACAGGACCTGAAGGTGAACAGCACTGTTCCCAATGCCTCAGTGATAGCTTTATTCTCAGACGCTGCCTGACCTCTCTGTCCTGTCTAGCAATGGGGATGAAGAAGCAAGATGCTTCTGAAGAACAGTTTAGACAACCATCTCTCTTGGGTTTTGGGGTATCAAACTGTTGTTCCTGCACAGATATGTAGGTAGATGAGCCTTGCTAAAGTCCTGGGGAAGTCCTCAGAGACTCGCAGAAAGCACTAGACCACCAAGACCATGTTGCTCCCTTCTCATGTGGCTGAGCCTACTCCTGGGAGACAAATCTGTGCGGAGGTCCATAGTCTGAGCTCAACATGTTCTTTGCAGGACCAGTCTTGGAGAACTGTCCAACTTAGAAACTCTTCATTTGCCTTCTGCCCTAGCAGACCACCTTTTTTTTTCCTACTAATCTAGCAGCTTGATTTATGGTCCCAGGAGTGCAATGGAAAGGAGGAAGATGGACTTAATTCACACGTGCAAGGGTAAGGTCAGATGCCAAGGCTACCTCAGGGACAAACTAGCTTTTCTAGCCCCAGCTCCTTTGCACAGATGTTAGGGCACAGATAAGCAGCAGATCACGCAGGAGTTCTCAGGACTGGAAAAGCCTGGAGACCTCATGAACAGCGTGCTCAACATACGGCACAGCTTGAGTGGGAGAGAGGCTGGGAGTCTCCACGTGAACCTTGCAGCCATATATGGGATTTGATGGGTGTAGGAATCAAGTATGAAGCTTGTGGGATGTGGGATCAGAGCCACGTGGTTGTGACACATAGCATATCACAGCTATGCCATATTAGAAAAATAGGTTAAGAATAGGAAAAAACAAGATGGCCAAAATGTTTTATTTGCTTTGACACCCAACCAGATTAACTTGTTTCCAAAAAACAGATTAAAAGTGAAATATAGCTGAGGCGTGCTGCAAGAAATCTGGAGTTCTATCATCTCCTCTCCTCATTATTTATTACTTACTCAAGAACTACTGTAAAACTCTGATCTTGGCATTTAAAACACCTTGTGCTTAGCGTTAGGAGTGGAGAGAGGTTTATATGCAAGATATAAAAACTAAATTAAGACACAGCAAAGTGACAGAATCAAAGAAACTAGGAATAAAAATTAGTTAAGAAACTAATGCACTGAAAGAGATCTGCAGAGCAAACGCAAGACACCAAGAAAGGAAAACCTCTACTCCATTATAGTGTCAGCACTGTAGTTACAAACCTTTATTTTTAGAGTTCCTTCGTTTCAGTTCTTGCACAGAACTGCCTGCAGACAAAGCAAACATTTCTAGGTTTCTGGGCTTGATCCTGTCTCTTTTAAAGTCATTTTCACCAGAGCAAGAGCTAACCCAAGATCTGTGCACACAAGAAACCCAAATACTTCCTGGCACTCGTTTCTGTGCTAACTTGTGCCAGAGTTGTATATGCAGAATAGAAATGTGCTCATTTACAGCCTGGCCCATAGCTCCTTGGCTGTGGGAACACCAGTTTGCCTAGCTAGCACATGATTCAAGTAGGTGCACATACACATTTCACACGCATATTTCTTTCATGTAGGCACAAGTAGGTTCCTGCTTTGTAACACTGAATCCACAAAGTGTTTGCTGGCAAAAAGCTATGCATTCATTTTATTTTTACATGCTGTGATGTGTGCAAAAACCTGGATAGCTTCAAACAAGGAAAAGATAAACAATGCTTTCATAGTTTCAAAAATAATGCACAATGCAGCCTCCAGATTATGAAGGTCTTCAGGCATTCTTGACATCTCCATTACCCTGCCAGCAACAGTGAGCAATGACTCCTGAATGCTGACTTTAAAGCCAATAGATTCTCTCAGTGCTGAGGATAGGGTGAATTCCCCAAAGGGATTAAGCAGGTTTTCAGACCCCCACCAGCAATGCCTTTTGCAGTGTATCATAGAGTCATAAAATCAGAAAAATGGCTTATGTTGGAAGGAACCTTAAATATCATCTAGTTCAATCCTCCTGCCATGGGCAGGGTTGCCCAGGAGCCTGGCCTTGAATGCCTCCAGAGATGGTATGACATCAGCCAAGTGAAAGACGTCCCCCCATGAGATGGGGACATTGCACCAAGGCTGGAGCCTGTTCTGCTGCATCCCAGCATGCTTATGCATAGGAGGGGCTGCAATGGAGGAATGCATAGGGTTAGTCCAGGCATGTTCCTCAGACTTACTTAAACTTGGCTGCTGCAATGTTTAGAATCACTGGAGGAAATGGACTCCCTTCCAGCTCTCATTACTAGTCAGGTTTCCAGCACTGGACTTCCAACACTGGACTGCCTTCCCATCCAGATCCATCTGCTGAGCTGGTTGGTGTCGGGCAACAAGATGGGAATGTCATTATCCAGACCTAATTTGGCCTAACCTCTGTCATCTGACATGTTCAAGGATCACAACCCTGTTTCCAATCTAAAGGAATTTGAGATGAGCTCGCTTTGAGTAATTGCTGCTACACTGGCAATGGAAAATGAAGAACTGCAGTTGTAGATGGATTTGAGTATCTCTCCAAAGTTCTTGGATTATTACCTCTACTATAGAGTAGCACAGATAGTCCCAACTATAGAAATAATCTTCACCTCTTCACCTTCTCTGCCTGGCAGCTGCATTCCTTGCACTGCTGTCTGGTCAGTGAGCCTGTATACGTGGTCTTGCAGTGTTTTTGCTGTCAGAAGGCCAATTTATTTACATAAGACGTGAATGCTGACCTCTGCCTGAAAAAAGGAGGAGAAAACACTAAGATCAGGCAGACTCCAGCATGTCCCTCTGTTGAAAGCTGAGCCTGAAGAACATGCTTAGCACCATGCTCACAACCATTTTGGTGTTGCTTTTCTTGTATTTTTTCTTCCTGAATGCAAGCATGGACTAGACTACAAGCCCATTCCCCTTGCTTGGGCACACAACTGCACCACACACTGTGACTGCAAGGTGGGCATTCACAGGTTATGTTAGACATTTGGTCAGTGGGGGAAGTTGAAATTGACAGTCTGGACTCATCCATGCCCTGAAAACTACTAGAGGCTACAGTTGGGCTTACACTAACAGGTTTCTCTCTCTACAAACCTGCATTCAACAGCTGCACACCTGACCAAATACTGTTCCTGTTATTCTGTGTTCCTGGTCTTGCTGCATGATCCTGTATTCCAGGAGCCATTCTTGCAGGTGTGTAATGTCAGCTGGGGTGCCAAGAGAGAAGTCTCAGGGCATCTTTTCTTCCTCCTAGCTTAGTTCACAGCCAGAAAGTGTTCTTGGGGCTCAAAAAGACTTGGATACACCAGGACAACTTGGAGCCTGCGCATCCCAGGAGAGAGAAGCAATACATCAGCTACCAATCCTGCTGTCCCAAGGCTGGGAGAGAACCTGGGGACTGTGTGCCTTGGGCATGTACCTTAGCATCCTATACACTATCTCCTTGCTTTTCTTTCCAAGATTCAAATGGCATGTGTGTTCTCTTACAGCTCCAAGGTGGACAAGGAGAAAGAGCTAATGAACATCGCCATAAAGCCTCTTTGATATCAGGGACGCATATATAGGAGGCTAGCCCTGGAAAATTGTACTATTTACTTCTGCTGGAATGGGAAATGAAAACAGTTGATGCTGGCAGGGCTCTCAGCCACAGACAAGCATTTGTCAGTATGCAGGAACCCCCCAGGACAACCAGACACCCTCAGAAAGCAGAGTGAAGCACACAGTGTGCTGAAAAACATTGGTGAGATGCTAAACATTTCCTTTCCCTTCTGTATTATCTTCTTATAACAGGACAAAAAACCTATTAGACTCTTTTGCTTATGGTAGATTTTATGAAATTACTTAAAAAATACTTTTTGACATATTTCCATTAGTAGCAGCCCCGGTTCTTTAGTAATTCATAAAGGAAATATATGAAAAAAATAGCTTAGAGCTAATCCCTTGGGAAACAGAAGTGCCTGATTTGACAGCTTGGCCTGGTCACTGGACAAAAAAACCCAACAGGGCACTGTACCTAAGTTAGGTAGCAAGGCAAAAAGCATGTGCCCAGTCTGCTCTGGATGCTCTGTTCAGGTTCAGCAGGACATGTTTCTTCTGACTCTGGATTCACAGCTGTGTAAACTTAATTATAGTTTCTCACCTTGCATTAATTAACGTGAGAAGTGAAGACACCTCTCCTCACGCTGCTCTTACTCCGCCCACCCCCTATCCTCGGATAACCCAGCCCCTGGGGGTTAGCTCTCCCTGGGCGCAGTTTTGCATTCCTATGGGGAGGACGCACCTGGGCAGCCTGGGTGAGGCTGGTCATGAGGGCTGAGGTCTCTGTCTGCTGCCTGTTGGAGGGAAGGGAATGCATTTCGTGTAACCTCTTTCCCCCCTTGAAGGAGTGCTCCTGTGTAGAATCATAGAATCATTATGGTTGGAAAAGATCACTAAAATGATCTAGGCCAACTATCAACCCATCACCACCATGCATACTAAACCATGTCCCTCAGTGCCACGTTTCTTCAACACCTTCAGGAAAAGTGACTCCAGCATCTCCCTGGGCAATCTGTGCCAATGCCTCAGCACTCTTCCCGAGAAGAAATTTTTCTGAATATTCAACCTGAACCTCTCTTTGTGCAACTTGAGGCCATTACCTCTCGCACTTGGCATATGCCAAGTGCTCCTGAATTGCTGTAGTTTTCAGCCCAGCTGATGAAGATCTGGAGCTAGCCTGGATGGAGGGGAAACTGAGGTGGTCTTGGTGGCTGCAGAGTGCCTTGCTTCAGAGCAGCAAACCCAGGTGGTTGATGACGCCTCAAAACTGCTAGGGTGACATTTCTGGTTCTCCTTTACACCTGAGCTGGGGACTCAGGTTCCACATCAGGCACCAGACTGCATCCTAGGAGGAGGGAGAGCATGGGAAAGACTGCAGAATGGGACACATGCACTTCACAGGGCTTAAAACTTAGTAAACAAAGGACAAAGTTTAAAAATTTGCTAAAGGGTTCATGAAAATCATTTACCATCTTCATTCTCTAAAGCAGTGAAGCAAGTTTGATTGCACAACTAAAGTAGTTTCTGTACCAACTGTTTGTGTTAATCCGTTTATTTATGAGAAGCATCTGAGAAAAACAAACTTGTATTGTTTGCCAAAGATTCTCTGCCGACAGCACTATACCCTCCTCTCTCCCACTGTTTTCTTTCCCCTCACTACTACACAAGAGAGAGGCAAAAGACGGAGAGGTGGGAGGGCTGACACCACTGCTCTCAGTGGAGAGGTGGTAAACGCGCTTAAGTCGAAAAGCTCACGAGCACAAAGTCATACGATAACGCACGCTTCTGTTCCTCACAAGCCGGGAGCCACCGCCCCGCGCTCGGCAGCTTTCAGCCCAAATCGCGCCTTCGGACGGCGACAGCGGGACGCAGAGAGTCTGCCGCTCGCCCTGCGCTACCCATCCGGCGGAGCCGGGAGCACGGAGCACCCAGTCCCTCCTCCCGGACCCCCAGCCGCACACTCGCCCGCACGGAGGCGCGCAGCCGCTCCGCGGGCGGTGCCGCCAGGTGCGCCCGCCCAGGCACGGCCCCGGGGGGGCGGCCGCGGCGCCTCGCCCCACCCCGCCGCGCCGGGAGCTCACCGCCCCCGGCTGAAGTCCGGTGCCGCCGCGCTGATCCGAGCCGTGCCGTGCCGGTGGTGCCGTCACTCGGCGCTTCCAGCATGCTCCTAAGATGGCGGTAGCGGCGGCGGGCGGTGGCGGCGGGGGCGGCCGGGCGCAGCGCAGCGGCTGGCTGGAAGTTTTGGTGCGGGAGCGCTGGCACAAAGTGCTGGCCAACTTGGGCGGCGAGGCGCTGGTGCTGAGCGGAGAGGAGCGCCCCGACGGCGCGGCCCACAACGGGCTGGGAGGCGATGGGGCGGCGTGCCGCGGGGCCGAGGGCGGCGGCGGGGGCTCGGCGGTGCGCACCGCCTTCACCGACCCCCCCGAGCAGGTGCCCGAGGCCGTCTCCAACAAGAAGCGCTGCGTGAAGGTGCTGAAGCAGGAGCTGGGCGGGCTGGGCATCAGCATTAAGGGAGGCAAGGAGAACAAGATGCCCATCCTCATCAGCAAGATCTTCAAGGGGCTGGCGGCCGACCAGACCCAGGCCCTCTACGTGGGCGATGCCATCCTGGCCGTCAACGGCACCGACCTGCGGGATGCCACCCACGACGAGGCGGTGCAGGCGCTCAAGCGGGCCGGCAAGGAGGTGCTGCTGGAAGGTACGGGGCTGCCGGCGGAGGGGGATGCGGGACGCCTCCGTGCGCCTCGTTCCGGGCGCCCTCCCGGTAGGGAGCCCCGACGGCGCGGGGACGGAGCCCCACAGATGGCACCGCGCTGTTGACGGGGCTCCGCGGTTTGGTCGCACATCGGACGGCGGAGCCCCGACTCCGGCCGCGATGCGGAGACCCTTTCTGGGGTCGGCGGCTGAGCCGGGCCTCGGCGTGGGGAGTGGGCTCAGAGGAAGTTGGTAGTGCCTCCTGACACATAAACCATCCCCGCAAATGTTTCGTTTCTGGGAGTGGATGAGTTTGGTAAGAAGCAGCTTTAGAAACTGAGTCTGGAGTATGGTGCTCAGTGTTGTATGGGAGTTGTCTATGAAACGAGACAACTGTTGGCGAAGGCTGAGCAGAGGCAGAATCACTCCCCGGGACACCATGCTTATAAGGAGAGAGGTGTTCATGGACGTGCAGTCTTTGTGTTTTCTCTGGCATTTGTGTGACTGCTGGACCTGAGAGAATGAACAGCTTCAGCAGTGCCCTTGGTGCATGTTTGATAAAGTGATTGCACATTAGCCCAGAAGTTCACTTAACCACAGGTCACTGGCATTTTTTGTGTGCTACTGTGCCATCCCCATGCCTTCCTTTAAGCCCTGGTGCCCTTACATCGGTGTCTTGAGAGCACTGTAGGTACCCTTTGAGCACAGTTCACATGTCTTTTCTCTGTAATAAGAAGCAGAGGAAGTTCTGCTGCCAGTTCAGGGATACGCAGGAGCATCAGCTGCAAACAACCGACTGTGGCACAAAGTTATGGGAAAAGCCTTAAGAAGTGGTTCTGTGCAGTAAAGGTGGCGAAGGTGAGACAATTTAATCTATGGTTGTGGCTGCTGAGAAACTGCTCAGTGCCATCCACACTGCAGTGAAACCCGTGGGGAGATTGCTGCAAGGCTTTAAGAAGCAGAGGGCCACCGCGTGCCCTGTGCTCCTGTGACCAAACCGCGTTTCCTCCCCACTAACTGCATGCAAAGATTCCTGTGAAGTCCTAATGTAAACTCGCCGAGGTCTGAATGGAGTGGTGACGTCGGAATTGTGCCACTGGTTTGTTTGCACAGTGCGGGGCTCCCGGGGTGTAGCAGCAGCTGACCTGCGGTACGATCTAACGATCTAACGAGGCGCGCACAGCACGCTGCCTGTGGAAACAGCACCTGGCTGCTGCAGAAGCCTGCTAAAAAACTCGTTGTTTCTGGTAGGAGCACACTTGAAGCTGTTTGAGCAGGGACTCCTTCTCTCTGCTCCATTGGCCACTGCAGCTGTTTTCTTGCCATTTCTTTGCCCCGTGGAGGTGTAGGCTGATGTGCTTCAGTGCGTATTCCCGCAATGGAATTTGTAAGTTGTAAATTGAGAGTCTCTTTCAGTAGTCCTCCCTTTAGATGTTTAAAATACTCTAACGCTGAAAGCAGTACTTGTCTTGGTTTTCTTCTGCTGTTTTAGCACAGTATCCAAATGCAGGATTGTCCCCGCCGTGTCCCCTGGAGGTGCTGCTCTGTGCAGCTGGAGTTAGACTCAGTGATCCATGGGGGTCCCGTCCAACTTGGGATTCTGTGAACTTCTGCCTGAGTGACTTGTGTAAACCAGCATTTTGGAACAATTCCCCAAGATTCAATTTCCCACTTAGATACTTTTTCCGGTAGCACAGTCTAAAATGGTCTTTTTACTACAAAGGGAAGGAATAGCCAGAAGATTTTTTTTCCTCTTTGAAGTACAGAAGGGGAAGAGCATTGCTTTTCCTTACCTCCCAGACAGGAGGAATGTGCTGCTTCCTGGCTTCTTGGAAAGCTGTGCATTAGAAGGGACAACTCTGAGCTGGGGCCGAGATGAATCCCTACACAGTTCCTCTCTGGACTGTTGCTCTGGTTAGCAGGGCACTACCACTGTATGATACCAACACATAACATGCACATTTTCAAGGAGATTCAGAGGCTTGTGCCTTGCAGAGTAGAAAAGCTGAATTTGGCTCTAAGCAATTCAAAAGGCATGGCAAGGTGCTAAGCACGGGGGATGGATCTCAGGGTGCAAGGGGGAGGCTGTGGTGTTACTCCAGGTGTTGTGAGCTCCAGGAAAGGGTTTCTGGGTTGTGTGCACGCCGAAGTGGTCAGTTCAGAGGCTGTGGTCAGCGTGGCTCAGTGCACCCGATGTCACGGCTTTGCGTCCTAAAACTGCTTGCTCAGTGAAACGAGGCATTTACCAGCTCAGCACTAAACTGTCCTCTCTCGCATTCCTGTGGGGGGGGACGGGAGCAGAAATCCCTCAGCAGTCCCTTGGGGGAGAGGCAGGGCTGGCACTGGGGTAGGTGATAGGGTGGTGTGTGGTGATAATATGCGTGTCCTTTTTGCTGCATCGATCCTTCTTACAGTAGGAGGAAGGCAGGTAGGACTTGGTAAGTGGAAGAGAAATAATGCACTGCCATAGGAGGAGCTGTGAGGCAGAAAGTTCAGGAGGTGGCGGATGAGGATGAAGTTCTGATCTAAGAAACGCTGCTTTCCCCTCATCTGCAGGGATGGACCTCTTCTATCCCCAGGGTTTAATTTCCTGCTGGCCTCCCAGCACAGCCCAGGTGCAGAGAAGGGATAGGGCAGCTCACGCAGCCCCAGCTGTGATTTCGGATGTTCAGTCCGTGAGAGATGTATGTAGCATTCAGGAGCATAAAGAATTTTTCTACATGAGAGACCAGGCAGCCTTCTTGTACGCTGGATGTTGTTTGCAGGCATGGAAGGCAGCTTAAATTATCACAGCAGCTTCTGTTTAAACATATGATTTCCCTACGGTTCTGTTAAATTGGGTCTTCTTAAATAAGCACTTTGGAAAATCAAGCATCCCCTCTTATGTTGTACGAAGCATGTTTCACTCAAGTGATTCTCAAATGCAAAAGGTGTTTTTTTTAATCAAAGCATCCTAGTTGAGAGCAGTCCCTTGGCATGCTTGGGAACCAAGCAGGTTGTGCTTTACTTAAATTCTCAATCTGTTTTGTGAAAAAAAAATTATAAATCAATATAACCTGTGCTAATGTCAGATGGGATCCCCATGGCCTTCATGATGTATTTGGATGTGGAGTGAAAAAAAAGATGTGTTTTTTTGCTAGGTGGTTGCAGGATGTATTTTGTAGATGGCGTTACTTCCTAACTCATTGAAAGTATGCAAACATGGTTTTGATGGTGGTGGTGGCAGGTATGCAGCAGGAGAAGGAGAATCTTACTGATGTTGCAGAGCTTTTCACTAGTTTTAAGCAATTCTCAATTAAACAAATATAATTGCAAGGTAGTGGCTACAGTTCCCTTGAGATGAGGCTCTTGCAGTCTCTATTGGTTTGCAGAAATTTCCCACAGAGCCACAGCCACCAGCATACTGAATTCCAGCATGTGGGCAGTAGACCATAGTTACCCTTTACAGCCCTTTGGGAGGTAATCCACAGCTTTAAGGCAGAACAGGCATGGTATGCTCTGCGTTGCAGTAACACATGCTGTTTTCCAAGCAGTATTTCTGTAAGAATTGTAGCAGTTCTCCCTTCGGAAATGTTTTGTGGTTGAAACGAAGCAAT